GGCGCGAACAGGCCGCTGCTGCGGGGCAGGGCCGCGGCCCGCCAGCTGGAGTTCCTTTGCCTTGAAACCTCAGTTTTAACGCCAACAAGCTATAGCGAAACGTTCTAATAAATGCGTTTCCCCTAAGCACACAGGCGCTCTCCAGGGCACCCGCGCGGTTCGGATGTTCGTCCTCCCAGTGACTGGGGCGATGCTGTAAGCTGGCTGTAGTAACGTGGTGTGTAACGCTTGAACGTTTGTAGCTCGGAAGATGAGGTGGATGTGCTCCTGCACGGCACTCCTGACCAGAAGCGGAAGCTGCTACGGGAGTGCCTGACGGGGGAGAGCGAGTCGTCCAGCGACGACGAGTTCCAGAAGGAGATGGAAGCAGAGCTGACCACCACCATGAGGACTATGGAAGGCAAATGGAAATCACCAGAAATGGGTAAATCATGCTTAACATCTGCTTCCGCAGGAGATTGTGAGTGAAGTGCTGTCCAGTTAAGGCGGGAAGTTACTGTTTCTTGTGGCTAGAGGTGACAGCTGAGTGCTGTTTGAAGCGTACGGAAAAACCTCAAAATGGCTGATTACGTCTGCAGAAATGGTCAGTAGGTGCCACTTCAGTGAATGCATCTGTTTCGTCTTTTCTAAGACTTTGATTTTGGCGTTTCTGAACTTCTGATTTCCTGCTTCAATATGATTTCTCTTTGTTGGATTAGTCTTCTTTCTTCCAATATCTCTTGGTTTAAAGTTGTTGTTTCATATGTATTCAGAAACCTCTTGAGCAGGTTGCAGTCTCTTGTACTTTGTCTAGTGGCTCTGAGTGGCCATCAAGATTTGGAGCCCTTTCTTGGAGAAAGGAATAGCATATGGTAGATTAAAATCCCAAATCAGTTGGGAGAAAAACGAGTAACAAATATGATTATCTTTCTCTCTTACCATCTTATAATTGTTACATCAAACAGTAAAGCTGTATTAAAGAAATACGTGTTCTGGAGTTTGGGAACTATGGCTGCAAGAGGCGGATTGGCATTTGAAGAGGGGATATTCTTTTTACCTATTACAAAACAGCATTGAAAATTAAGCGTTCTTAATTTACTAGAGAATCGACATAGTGTTCACTTTAATGTAGGGACTTCACTCTGCATTCAGCAGGTTTATTGGTTTCGTCTGTGTTAGTGGGTAAATCTGATCTGTAGGTTTTGGTTGTGCAATGAAGAAGATGAAGCGGTGTTTATGCCACCACATACATCCAGCACAGAACAGGATTTTTGGTGCAGACTGGCTGTGACAGATGTGCTTGGCAATTTGTCTAGGTTCTTTTTGAACTTCTGTGGCCCTGAAATTTTTGGGGATTTTTTTAGTGAATTTTTTTGTAATTAATCAAAGTTTGTGAAACCATGTGCCACAGCTGTATTTCTTTCACATGACTGAAGATTTGTGGAGTGTCTGAGGTGGTGTGGATTGTATAGAGCAGAGGCAGGCATATTTGGCATAGTGTCCTCTGTGCCTAACGGGAGTGTACCTTGGGAGAAAATTCCCTTTGAACTGTACCTGAAGTTCATCTCGGAGGGAGTGAGCAGCTTTGCTCTGAGAGAGCACCTGTAAATGAAATAACAAAAATGATGTGGATGATCAGGATGTGGGAATAAATTGGGAGAGCTGTTACTTAACACACCTAGATAAAGCACAGCACTTCAGGACAGAGTACCTTGAAAACATGGGTTTTTTCTGGGCTGTATACTTGCCACTGTTTTGGTGGGGTGTTCTTACCACTTTTCTCTCTAATTTTACACGTAGGTACTTCCTCAAGTACTGGGCAGACTGGATCTGCCACCACTTCGAAATACTATGATGACATTTACTTCGATTCTGATTCAGAGGATGAAGATAAAACAGGTAAATGGCTGAGGCAAAAGGAGGACATCTTTACAGTACCTGTAGCATCCTCTTGGGGGGGGTTAAGGGGCTGTTCCTGAAGGCGGCCTTTTGAGGGGAATTACCAGCCTCTGTCAATCTCAGTGTAGTTCCTGCAACTTTGTGACGTATCCCAAGGTATGTAAGGTGCGTTGGGGTGGTGCATTTGGAACAGAGATGAGCTAGACCTTTATGTTCTAGTTTAGATTTATTGCAAGTATGGAAAACTGAAAAACTGATATTTTGATTATTTAAGCCGAGAATCATCATATGTCTTTACGGATGTAACGTGCTTGCACAAATCTTCCCAGCTACACAGGATGTCCGGAAAAACAGAAAACATCAGCAGCGTCGTATTCCTTCCAATGATGAACTGCTGTATGACCCGGAAGAAGACAGGCGAGACCAAGAGTGGGTAGACTCACAGAGGAGGGGGTAAGAGACTATAAATATTTGAATTGTAGGATGCTTAACATAAAATAAAAAATTTCAATGAAAATGGTGAATATAGAGAAAAAGCCTATTCTGTCAAGTCTACGTAATGAAAATATTTTTTTATTTAAAATTTACAGCATAGAAATGTAAAAACCTGTAAAATGTTTATGCGTATGTAGTGGAAGTTGAGTCTTCAAAATGACACAATTCTAAAACTTGCGGTTTTTTAAAAATCAAAAGTTCCTAGTTCTGTAACCCAGTTTTGTCTGTAGGTCTCATCTAGACAACCATGTTGTGGATAAGAAGGTTGTAAGATTTGCTGATTTCAATTTTTACTGCCCTGTGATACTTTGATTGCTAAATTAGTGGTCTGTTCCTGCTAAATATTGCATTTATGGTTTGGAAAACTTTGAAATTAGCAATCCACAAAATGTAGGAACAGCACAAAGCTGCTTTACTGCGAGTTTTTTGACGGGCAAAGCAGAAAAATGGTTGCTGCAGCAGAAGTAAAATTCTCCATGTAAATCTGTTGAAAAAGGGTAACACTAATGTATGTTGCCTGCAGAGATTGCACTTGAGATACCCGCCTTGTCAGAGGAGAGGGTTATTAGGCACAAATTCTCATGCCAGTTCTGTTAGTTTCACCAAATAAGAATCCTGTGTACAAAGTAAATGAAAAGATACCGGTATGTGTTTTTTTCCCCCAGTGTATTTATTTATGTGCCCTTAGTAGTGAAAAAGGTGTGTGTAAGGAGCCATGTATTTATTGGTGTATTTTAGTATAAAAAAATCAGTGAAGGTTGAATTGATACATCCGACAACAAAGGCACGTGATTTCACTTTTCATCTCTCCATCCTCCTTTCTCGGATTGGTAGGTACCGTAATCAAAGAAGAGTGCCGCTGCAGCAGCCGGCGGCAAAACCTTCAGCTGTTCCCAACAGCGATGCTGTTTTGAATTGCCCTGCTTGCATGACAACGCTGTGCCTGGACTGTCAGAGGTAACTGGAGAACAATAAGGGGTCTTTTTGGAATGTCTTTTTTTTTTTGGTCAGTTGTATTCAATTCGATCAAGTCTGTCTTGCGAGGTGGTCCTCATAAAAGAGAAGGCACGCGTACGTGAATCAGATTTAGAGGTGAATGCTAGTTTGTAAGAATGGTGATCAGCTTTTGAGTATAGTTACATTAAAAAGTGCCTGGAAAGCATTTAGGTGAGAACCTGTAGTGTGTTTTGCAGCTCTCCAGTATCTGACTGCACTGCAAGCCTAGTTAGCACTGCTAAGGAGAGGACTTCCGAACTGGGAGTAAGGGAGAAAGAAATTTTGTGAAATGGGGAATAAGCTACCTCTTGTTTATTGAGTACTTTTGGTGATTGAGGATGAAATTCCACAGCAGCCTAAAATCATCTAAGTGCCGGGTGCTGTTTCTCACTCTCTTCCCTTTGTTGGCTCTGGTGTTCCTTTGACCCTGTTCTATAGTTAAGTATTTCCGTTTGCTAAGCTGACAGGAAACTGTCTGTTTTTATTGTCAGACTGCTCTTGCGTCATTTTAATAAACTCAGGTAGCTCGGCACAGCGTTACACAAGCACTAAAGCCAGCAGAAGTTGAGAAAGGACTTCTGCAGTCACCTGTCGTGTTGGTTTAGGCTGCTGTAAAACCACAGCCCAAGGGACATGGTGTTGAATTGAACTGCAGCCCGGAATTTTGCTACGTACTCCAGCTGTACAGTTGTTATGCTGATGACAGCTGAAAATACATTTTATATTTTATTACAGACCTGTTTTTTCAAGTGTGACGTGTCAATGTTTGTTAACTGAGGAATTTCAGACTTGCAAGACATTTTAGGATATAAATGCCAGTATTTCAGTTACTCGCACTCGCAGGTTCGTGATGTTTTGCCAATCACCTGCTATACATAGCAATGCCTAATTCTGTAGTTCCAATACCATTGTACTCTGAGGTGTTGATTTCAGCAAGAACCAGCGTGTTTTTAAAAACAAGACAAATGGCCACAATTCTATTTTTTAATGATTTTTTTCAGTTGTGGCTTCTGTTTCTAAAACTTTATTTGACTTTCAGCCCTTTGGCATGGTTCTTCCTATCTTTAATCCAATTTCCAGTGATGATAACCAATTTCTCGGAAGCTGAGTTTTACCAGTGGTATGACTTGCATTTTCTCTCCTTCTCCATAGACATGAATCTTACAAAACACAATACAGAGCGATGTTTGTGATGAACTGCTTTGTTGACAAAGAGGAAATTCTGAAATACAGAAAGAAGTTGAAGAAAAGAAATAAGAAAATGAAACACAGCAAAGAAGCTACCTCTGTACAATCAAATGAAGAAGAGGAGGAAGTGTATCATCCAGTGTTATGTACTGAATGCTCAACTGAAGTGGCAGTAATGGACAAAGATGAAGTTTTTCACTTCTTCAATGTTCTAGCCAGCCACTGCTAATGTGCAGAAGCGGGGGAGGAAATCCTGCACTCTTTAAGACTGTATTAAGTATCAGAAATGCAGGCATGTTAGACTGTTTTAAATATGGTCTTTAAAAAGTACATTTTCATCAGAGAGCTTTATAATGTTTGGATTTTTGCAAAGTTCACGAAAGGAATACAGTTAACTGCGTGCATTTGAGAGCAATATTCTTTCACACTGTCAGGTGGTTGCATCATTGAGGATTTAAAATTTTGTAAATATAATGTAAGATCTGTGTATTATGATCATTCCCTGTATAGATACTATCCATTATCTCAATATGTATTAGAATTACTGCTTAGAATAAATAGTGTGTAGTAACTGGGTCTCCGTAGCTGCGTTGGTCGTTTCTGTGGCACGTGGTAAACAACTCTCAGTTGGGATGTTGAGCTTCTTTAGGGTGGTATTTTTGGTAGACTTGCACAAGGGTAGGTCTGATAAAGAAGGAATTGTCATTGTATTTGGATTTTTGGCCTATTAAGATCTCAGAATGGAAACTTTTATTTATACAGAGTGGAAGATCAGCTTATATCGAGTTTGCTGGCATGGGTCATTCTGGCATGGATCATTTAAATCAACATATTATACAATTAAGGGTTTTAAATGTAAATATGTATATGAAGAAAGTACTGGACTTTTTTTGTATTGTCCTTTTTCGTTACAATGACACACTTTAAGAATAAATTTATGGTCAGCTCTGTGACCATAGAGCTACTTTGTATGTTTTAGCTATTTTTGTAGTACATTTACAGCTTCTTTATGGAACCATGAAGAGCTTCTGCTACTTGGTATTTAGATTTCTTGCTTAGTCTGTGAAGCCACTGCAGTGTTAACAGTGGATCCTTCCCTCTCTTCCTCCAGGCATGCTCCCAGAGGTGAACTCTTCTTTTTTTTTTATTAGTAAGTAATGTCTCCTCTTTATAGCCTGATATTTTTTAACACTTCACTTTGAAAAAAATCTTACCTTTATGCTTTTTCATTTAGCAGCACTAGGAATAATTTGTTCTGTGTGCTCTGAGGAATTGAAAGAAATATTTAAACTGAGAAGGTAGGCACCTGAAGAACGTACTTCTTTCGTGCCTTAGATTAGAATAAAATCTCGTGACTTTGGTTACGTTTTGTAGTCCTGGTGCTGTATTTTACTAACCTACACACGCTCATTCTACACAACGTTACATGAGATTAGGAAGAAGAAAATATGTTGGTTCTTCTGTCAGGATTAAATGAGGAAAAGATTGATTTACTATTTCCAAGTTAGCAGAAACTTAACCTATGCGTGACGAGACCTGTTGGGGCAGCTGCTGAACACCCGGTTGGCTGGTGTGGCCCACCTTCCTCCGCGCCTGCAACCCGTCGTCAGAACTGAGCCACACGTGCGCGGAGACCTGGGGTCTGCCTGAGACAAGGTCTCAACCTCTCCTTCCCTACCTGCTGTTGGACCGATCGGCGCAGTGTCCGACTCGCTATCGATAGGCGTGGGACCGTCTGACGTGGGGTAAGCTGCCGCTGTGCGCCACAAGCCAGGAGGTGTACGTGGAAAATTCTGAACGTACAAAGAACTCTGTGTTCTTAGTAGAAGCGTGGAGCAGCAGATGTGACAGAGGATATAGTCTGTGCTGTAGGACATGCTGGTCTGGACGTAGCTGTCTTCGTGTTCCAGATGAAGCGCGAAGGCTCTGTGTAGCGCCAGGTTAAGGGTCTCTGCGCTGCTGGAAACACGAGCGTGCGGGAATGTAATTCAAGGGCTCAGGTGTTGCTGCAGGTTGTTGCAGGAGGAACAACTGGTGATGGCAGTCCCTAAGTGGGGGTTGAATGGAGCTGGCGAAGGAGGGGAAACTGTACAGAGCAATAATGCCAATTTTCTTACGGGGCTAGCTAGCAAAAAAGTCTGTCTTGTGAGTGCACCATACTGACAAGGTGGAAGGGGCTGGTGTACCACCTGGCAGATGTAGCAGGAGAATTTGATGCTGGCATGCCTCAAAATCACCTTTCTTCTCAGCTCAGGTACTTTCTTGCTGCTTCTTGCTTGCTCCATCACTTGAATGGCAGAGCTGCTTCTTTGGAGGCGCCGGAGCAGGCAGGACTGGGACTTGTTTGCCCTGTATTGGTAATGTTCTTGCAGCTTTGCGTGGGAGCAATGCTTTCCCTGCGCTGAATACCCCACTTGTCCTTGAACTTTGTACGCGTTTATATACAAAAGAAGCTTTTGTGATTATCACTTTTTCAAGCAGCAACACCAATGCAAGCGTCCTCCAGCAGCAACTGCACCAAGCAACAGCGGTCTTGGACAGGGAAGACGGCTCCTGTCGCCAGTCGTGTGGGAGTGTTCATTGTGTGAGCGCTCTCCCTTCTTCTCCTGCTAACCTGCGTAGATGAAGTCTGTCAAAATGTCTTCTGGGATAAAGTGTGTCTAAATGTCTTCTGGTTGCATTACATCCCTCTTCAGGTTCTGTCACACAAACTAGTACAGCATTCAGTTTTCTTTTCCCCGGTTACCTGCTGGTGCTGTGGTTGTGTTTCACAGCTGTGTCAGCGACTCCTGCACGCATCCTCCTGCATTCCCATGTCTTTCACTGCGCAGACGGCACACGTGAAGGTCGTGGCGGGGCGGCGTGGGTGGCTGTTGCCAGCTCCTGGCTGGTGGCCTGGCCCCGGCGCCTCATGCCGCACTTTGTCACGGTGCCTCGTCACTGCCTACATCCCCTTGCAGGGCCTTCCAGGGCCTTCTGCCGCGCAGCCCTGGGCCAGCTGCTGGGAGCTTCTCCCCACCTCGGGCCGACGAGCACCAAGGGCTGGGGTCTCCCGCACCCTCCCATTTCTGGCCCCGGTGCCGCAGCGAAGTGCGAGGCCAGCACCAAGTTAACGGTGAACGGCCGATCCATCTCC